AATTTCCAAGTAATTTCATTTCAACAGCAAACACCTCTCTAAAAAGCTACAATAAATGAGGTTTTGTCATTTCCTCATCTAACAATTATTGGGGACCCTACACCAAAGAATTCTGAAGGATGCACATAGAGCTATTAGTATTAACCATGCATTAAAACTCATATGAATACTGCACATCAAACCATCCTACTGAGAGCATACCCAGTGAAATTAATGGACCTAAGTTAGTCATGCCTATTAATTTTTGGGGGCCTATTTAGAGTAGGACTACAACCTATTGTTGTAGGGTGGCGCTGTGGTCTAAACCACAGAGCCTAGGGCTTACCAATCAGAAGGTTGGTGGTTCGAATCCCCGCGACGGGGTGAGCTCCCGTTGCTCAATCCCAGCTCCTGCCAACCTAGCAGTTCGAAAGCACATCAAAGTGCAAGTAAATAAATAGGTACCGCTCCAGCGGGAAGGTAAACGGCGTTTCCGTGAGCTGCTCTGGTTCACCAGAAGCGGTTTAGTCATGCTGGCCACATGACCTGGAAGTTGTCTGCGGACAAACGCCAGCTCCCTTGGCCTATAGAGCGAGATGAGCACCACAACCCTAGAGTCGTCAGTGACTGGACCTAACGGTCAGGGGTACCTTTACATTTACCTTTACAACCTATTGTAAATAATCTGAAAAGCCCCAACTGCAAAATCTAGCAGCCAACCTTTCCCCCCAGTTGAACTATTTAATAAACTATAACAGCAAAGCAGAGTACCACGGGTCTCTCAGTATCCTTGAAAGAATGGTATTGACTGAAGTCTTGTATTATTGCAGTGAATGTGCAATCGTGATCACTGTGACTGCCACATACTTTAAACAACTCCTTTCAGAAGCACCTAACATTGTTTCATTCTTTGTGTGAATGCCACCAAAAATTAAAAAAAAAAACAGTTTGCCAACAATATTGTGCAGCCTCACTAAGCTTGTTTATAGAATCAAAAGATTGTTAAGAGGGGAAGAGTATTGTCGTGCCAGCTATGAATCTATAACAAACGAGCAGCATATGTAGCATGAAAGATAAGAGCACAAGAATGTGAAGGCTTCCATTCATTTATCTAATTTAGCTACATCTGAACAGTACAATTCATGCAGACCCAGTACAGTCCTATTGCTTCCAGTCTCTTGCCACTCCTAAGAAATTGGAAGCAGCGAGTAGCATCAGTCAGTCCGATTTTTCTTGTTTGTCGCAAACAGGCCATTACAATATAGATCACAAGAAAGCAAAACAGAACAATCCAACAATAAGCTAAAACATATCAATTTTCAGAAGTACAATTTATCAAAACTTAAAATGGGAACATTCCCCCAAATCATTTAATTATTATTATTTTTTAAAGTAGCCCACGGTATGTTTCTCACTGCTAGTGAACATAAAGCTACTCTAACAAATTTGTTTATCCTGGCCAGCAACCATGTAATTTCGAAGTCATCTGACTGACCTCCTAGAAAATTCTGAAAATCAAAAGAAACATCAGTCCTGAGGTTGGAAGTATACAGGATATACAGTGGTACCCCGCAAGACGAACGCCTCGGAAGACGAAAAACTCGCTAGACGAAGGAGTTTTTCGTTTTCTTAGCCGCTTCGCAAGATGCATTTCCCTATGGGCTTGCTTCGCAAAACGAAGCTTGCCCTGCAAGCTCCGGGGATAGCGGGGAAGCGCAGCGCATCTTCCCCGCTGTCCCCGGACCTCTTTTGAAGCAAGGGGTGGCGGGGAGAAGATCGCTTCTCCCTGTTGCCAGCCCCACAATCTCCGGGGACAGAGGGGAAGGCGCGTGCGCCTTCCCCTCTGTCCCCGGACCCCTTTTGAACCAAGGGGCGGCAACGGGGAGAAGCAATCTTCTCCCCGCCGCCCCTTGCTTTAAACAGGTCCGGGGACAGAGGGGAAGGCGCGCGGCGCTTCCCCTCTGTCCCCGGACGGTCTCCATAGGAACGCATTGATTGATTTTCAATGCATTCCTATGGGAAACCGTGCTTCGCAAGACGAAAAACTCGCAAGAAGAAAAAACTTGCGGAACGAATTAATTTCGTCTTGCGAGGCACCACTGTAGTGCACAGTGTCTTCAATCTGGCAAGAGGTTATCGCATACTTCGTTTTCCTCACATTCATTCTTCCCTGACAGTCTATGCCTAAACCATGGTTAAGGGTTACAGCTATACCAATCTTAACCGCTGTTAATGCTAAATAAGATCCCTCTTCACTGGGGCTTATAGAATCATAGACTCACAGAATTGTAGAGTTGGAAGAAATCTCAACTAGCTCTTGCAGTAGCCATCCAACCTCTGCTTGAAAACCTCCAAGGAAGGAGTGTCCATCGCCTTCTGAGAGAGTCCATTCCACTGTCAATCAGCTCTTACTTTCAGAATCCCCCCCCCCCGATGTTTAGTTGGAATCTCCTTTCTTGTAACTTGGAAGCCATTGGCTCCAGAGAAGGAGAAAACAAGCTTGCTCCATGTTCCATGTGACTGCCCTTTAGATATTTGAAGATAGCATCATACTTCGTCTCAGTCTCCTTATTAAACCATTTCAAGCCCCATGGGTCAAAGTCAGGACAAGGGAAATTCTTGTTTATACCAAATGGCACTTATTCTACAAATCCCCCCTCTCTTAAACTGCTGTTCTTACGTTAAAGTCTGTAACTAGCTATGGAAAATGACTTTTGCACTTTCAATCCTGCGGCCGCGATGCAGCACACCAGATCTATTTTCAAGCATTTCACTGTCAAGCAGCTTTTTACACTAACCCTAAACTCTAAATGATTTTGGGTGGAAATCCCCTGGATTTAGAAACTATTTGGGGTTGGCAATAGTAGTGCTAAAGGAAGCAAACTGGGTGAAAGATAAAGATTTGCAGAGGATTGATTTGTGTGGAACTGTGCCATCACAGCTGCTGAGACCAATTATAGCTATGCAAGATTTTAAAAAAAGTTGTTAATAGTCACAGTATGTAGACTGGAATATCTGCTAAATAATTAACAGCCTACATTATTGTCAGCAGGTGCTTCTGCAATTAACCTCTGGCTATTTAATTGGTAGCTGTGCCAAGAAAAAGTAAGTCATCCTTAAACGTGCATCCAATACTGAAACTCAAAGCAAAAATATTACAAATATATCACTAGGTTTTAAAGAGAGTAAAGCAGATCCAATGTGAAGAAAGAAAGAAAGAAAGAAAGAAAGAAAGAAAGAAAGAAAGAAAGACTCAGTGAAGTGTTTGCAGTCAACAGTCGAACAACCATTCTGATTTTAGGAGATTTACAGAAATTGTTTTTCCCAACTTTGCTTTTGTTGTGCTTAAACTTCACCTTCATTTAAGTTAAAGAAACAATGCTATTGGCTGTTCAAGAAATCTATTAGATAAAAACAGAACACTTTACAATACAAATGAGGTCCTTCACAAGTAACTTGGCACTTTGCAACAGATCCTGTATAATGAGCTCTGCAATATTCTTCACTTTCTGGGTGACTATATAGAAAAATGATAAACCGGCAACTAGATTTGCAGAGGTTGCCTAGATCAAAATTTACAGAGCAGAAGGCTTAAATCTATTCAGCATTCAGTCACAAATGAAACATCTTCATATTTTTGCTTTTAGTTTGTATTTAGGAACCTGATTCAAATAAAAGTATTAAAGTTTGATCCTTGGTGAGCCTTCATATTGGTCTCTGACACTGGGGAAAGAAGGTGGCAGGTTGATAAAGTTGTTCACTCTGAAAATAATTGTGGAAGAGAACGGTATGTGTTTATGTCTCCTTGATCAAGAAAATATGTGTGTGTGTTCTCCTGTATGTTAGATATGATGAAAATATCTGAGCGTTCTGAGGTGCAAACATGTTTTTCTATCATTGCTGCACAACAGCCACTTCCAAACTCTTCATGCCACTTGGACACCTATGCTGTAAACTTACAAAATGTCCAATGCTTTATTTATTATTTTACTTGGAGTGTTTGTACCCCACTTTACAGCCCAAAAGGGCTCCCAGAGCAGCTTAAGGTAAAGGTAAAGGGACCCCTGACCATTAGGTCCAGTCGTGGCTGACTCTGGGGTTGCGGCGCTCATCTCGCTTTATTGGCCGAGGGAGCCGGCGTACAGCTTCCGGGTCATGTGGCCAGCATGACTAAGCCGCTTCTGGCGAACCAGAACAGCGCACGGAAATGCCGTTTCCCTTCCCGCCGGAGCGGTACCTATTTATCTACTTGCACTTTGAGGTGCTTTCGAACTGCTAGGTTGGCAGGAGCAGGGTCCAAACAACGGGATCTCACCCAGTCGCGGGGATTCGAACCGCCGACCTTCTGATCGGCAAGTCCTAGGCTCTGTGGCTTAACCCACACCGCCTCCCACGTCCCATCCCAGAGCAGCTTACATACAATCAAAACAAGACAGTCCCTACCCACAGGCCTTAGATTTAAACGAGAAAAACCCAAGGGACAGTGAAGAAGGGGGGGGGGAGCCTGGGCACCAATTTCCTACACCGGATGTTCCTATGATGACCAGTTGGCACAGTTTGGAGGAAGGAGGTACCTGATGAAGCTGATGAAATGAGACCTAATTCCCATCTCCCCCATTGAGGCAGCTGGATTGGCTGCCCCCAAATGACAGTCGAAGGGAGAAGAGGCCTGATGGAGCTGGCCTGTCACAGCAATCGATGGCGTGAGCTGTGGTTCACAACTCTCCCAACAAGTCTGTCCCCTGGCTAGTGACATTTCACTTTCTACTCCAACAAGGATCAGAAGAATCATGTGCAGTTTCTGAGTCACACGTTGGTCATAGGTTTTTAATAATGCTTTTTAAAAAAACTAAAACAAAACACCATTAAGCGTGATGAATTAATATTTGATTTTACATCCCTTTCTTTGATTAGCGTTTTGATTTCTCTCTCTCGTTATAAGACAATATTAGCATACTTAAATAAAATAGGGGGAGCTTTGTTACAATAACAACCAAAGCATGCAAATACAGGAAACTCACCTGACGCCCTTCTAATGAACCGGTTTATCACTGGAGCTAAGAGAAACAAACAAAAAAGATGTTTTGTTAGAAAATTCTCAGAGAGTACTGTACAGAATACACTCTCTTAGCTATGTGAAGTACATTTCTAACATACTGCAGTTACTACAGTTTGTTTATATATATATATCTTTGTTGAAATGTGCACTCGATACATAGATACAACAGTAAAATAAATTTCTCAAAATGTCACTTCATGATGAAATTTAAAAGAACGAGAGACTTGCAAGCAACGAATCTGGGGACAAGTGTGAGTCATGAGAAATTTACTTCTCTTTTGTCCCTCTAATCCACAGTCCGCCAACCTTCAAAACCACATTGTCTTTTCCCTGCCTATGTAAGGACTCATTCACAATGTTATTCTTATTGTTTGTATGTGCAAGGACTTTAACTCAGGAGTGTAATCAGCCAATTGCCAGCTAACGCAGGCTAGGTCCTGAATAACGGAACTCCAGGCCGGGGAAAGTCACATTCTATCAGAAGAGCAGCCATGCTAGATCTCTCGAGGGCTGTAAGTGAGGGCACAGACAGCTGAAAGAGCATTATAACATTGTGACCATCCACTGAGACCTCATTTCCAATGACTTGAGAGGAGTGGGGATAGTTGCAAAAATTTATCTGCAAGTTTGACACAAGCATTTCTTAATGTAAGGTATTGCAACGCGAAGTATTGCTCACAATTAAAAATGTGTTTGCACTGAAAGAAAAAGTTCCATGATGTACATCACTTCATAAATTATGGCAATAATAAAGCCTTACTCCCTCAAAATGTGGCTATTGGCTTCAGGCAGCCAGTAGTAACTCTGTTCTCTGTCTCAGGGATGGGGAAGCTGTGGTTTTCCAGATGTTTCTGGGCTCCAGCTCCCCTCCCATCCACATGACCAAAGTAGCTCAGCCCATTTTATGGGGGGCGGGGAGAGACTGAGTAGTGTAACAACCCTATAGTCCAGTGGTCCTTTCCTGATGTGCTGCAGTTGCATTTTTTTGGGGAAATGAGGGAGGGAGCTGTGAAGTGGATTGTAGCTGCATTGCAACTACCGAAGGGATGAAGGGGGAGAATTGAGGGTTTCAGTGACGACTTGGGAAGCACAGGAGGAGAAGGGGGGAAGTCCTATTGTACCGGCTCCAGCTGTTTAGTAGAATCAAACCCAAGGTCTAGTTGCCAGGTCTACCTCTCAAGAACTAAAGGAGGGATAGACCTGGAATACAAGTTTCTCAGAGGCTAGGCGTAGCCAGGCTTCACCCCTGCTCAAAGCACCAGAAATGACAGGCCTGTTCTCAGATTTTACTTATGCTTTATTTACAGTATTTTCTGTACCACCACTCCGGAAAGACCAGCAGATGTCCATGGCCAGATCTCCTTTACAAAACTTGTGATGAAACACCTTTCATACATTTTGAATTTTCAGTTACTTGGTACAGCAGATAACTAGTCACGGAGTAGCAACATAAACAGTAAACGATCTATTTCCCCCCTCTTTTTTTACAGCAAACTATTTCTAAAGTGTTTATACTCGTTCTGCCTTTATAGTAATCCCACTCTGCACTTAATAAAGAGTATGAGTAAGGTCACTGAATTTCAACTGTGTCTTTGAAATTTCCGTTTCTAATTACAGATGTACACTGCTATTAAATGTTACCAAGGGAGAAATGTTACAAAATGCAAAATATGATTCTTTTTTGTTCTCCAGCTGCTCTTTCCTATAGTATCTGCACCTTCCCTTGTATAGGATACTCACCTCAGGATTGCACCCACAGTCCATTCCCTACTGAATGGATTGGCTGGTGCACAAACAGCCCCTTCCATTATCAAAATGTTACATATTTATTTTGAAATATGTATCATGCCATGTGGCATAATAGAGCCTCATGGCGACTAGCAATCACCATTCAAAAGAAACAACAACCATTAATACATAATTGAATAAATGAATCCCACAATCTAGAAGCCTTAAAAAGATTTAAAGTTACACAATGCAGCTGCAAAACACAAGCTGGAATTAAAGGGGTTTGGGATTTTTTTAGGGGTGGCCAACTCCCAAGAGACTGCGCAGTGATCTACCCCCTTTCTTGGGGTTAAGGTCAAAGTTGTTGAGGTTTTGGGGGTGCAGGGCAAATATGTTATATGTTGAGCTTTTTTTTTAGGGGAGCCAAAGTTGTTGGACACGCCATTCTTCTTCAATGCACTAGCCCAATGGGCAACTTGCATTTTGCCACTGTTAAGAATGCCCTGTCCCTTGTTCCTGCAAAGCTAATTTAAATAAAGGACAGGACTCAAAGAAGGCCATCCCCAAAATGTATTAGTGTATGTTTCAGATCAGGGTATATGGAGAAGGTTCTCCCTAGCGTACCTTGAACCAAGTGCATCTATGATTGGGGGTGGAGTGGGAAGAATAATAGCAATGGACAACACTGATGGGTTGCTGTGAATACAGTGGACCCTCCGGTTGCAAATGTGATCCGTACAGGAGGCACGTTGGCAACCCGCAGCATCCGCAACCCACAGCGCCGCGTCTGCACATGCGCAGGTTGCGAGTTGGTGTTTCTGCACATGCGCGAGCGCTGAAAACAGGAAGTAACCCGTTCCAGTACTTCCGGGTTTCGGTGTGCCCATAACCCGAAAACACGCAACCTGAAGCATCTGTAACCCGAGGTATGACTGTACCATCTCATCATCACTCAAATCCCCAACCTGCACCATAGGAGTGAAATATTACTGGACTATATTACCCGTATAAAGTACTTTCTCAAACATCAGCCTGACTCCCACCCTGCAATACTCCAAGTGAACTATTGTTCCTTTATAGGTTTTTGTGTGTGTTACTTATTTTGCTTTGCCAATTCATGAACAGTTGGGAGTGGGTGATGCTTATTCCGACTGGGTCTTTCATTCATTTGACTTGATCTCATTCTCAAATGCATTTGTCCTCTGCAAAGTAATCCTTCACTGTTTGGCCTCGCTCTGTAAGAAGGACCCATGATCACCCCTTCTCTCTGTATTATGGGTACATAAACCATACATCTGACAAAGTGGGCTCTTGCCCAAGAAAGCTTATGACACAAAAGATACCGCAAGACTCTGTTGTTTATAACCAAGAGAACTGCTGGGAGGGCAACACCAAGACTGTGAAGCACATTAAAAAATATTGTATAACAAATTCCAAATTCTTTCAATCAAATACAGCCCTTTCAAACTCTCAATTTACCAACAGTATATAACCCTGTTTGGCCATCAGTATTATATGTAAGCAGATTATTCAATTAAGCCAACAACAATAACTTTAGCTGCCACGTGATTTTAGGCTTTAAGAGCTGGTGACACCATAGAAAACAGCTTCCAAATGAGCAAAGTCTAACCCAACAGCTAATACTTCCTAACCATCTTCATATCTATTTTGAACTTTGCAAGAAACCAAAATATGACAAATGTTGTTTTCCACTAAACAGCACCCATCTTCTCTGGTTAAGAGATTCAAGCTGATACCTTCAGTGACAGTTTGCTTTAAAGCGCAACTCACTGTGGCAAACAGGGGAAACATTTTGGTCCCCAGGGAACTGCTTTCTGTCCTGCTGCACAAAACCATGACTGCTGTTTGCAGCAAAAGGCAGAGACAGCAAAGACAGCAAGGGAATAGCCATGAAAACCAAACCACCCTCTTGGCATTTTAATTAAGGCCATTTCCAATATGAGGGTGAGGGGATTGCAAATCTCCAATACTAACACAGTTTTTACAAGAAAGCTCAGGTACAGTTGCTGCTTTTAAAGATATCCAGGGTGTTGAAACTATTGTGATCTTTTTTAGGGAAGTCATGGCAGGGTGGGGGGGCCACACAGAGAGGCAGAATAAACAACACGGGGGGGGGGGAAATGGAGAGCAATTCTCTGCTGTATACACCAGACCAGCAACTCGTTTTACAGGACGGCCATGAGGAGGCTGCTGTGGGAAACGCATCATCCTACCTCACAAGTATTCTTATTAGCATCTTCTTCTTCCTATATACATAAAAACGTAATGCTGTCAACGTGCAACCTCCATTCAAGGATTTGTAGCGCAGCGTCACAATCCTGGATGTACAAGAGGTCAGGGTAGGAGAAGGAAGCAAGAGAGAAGCCAAGTTGCACAGCAGAAGTAGCCATGGCATGGGAATGAGAAGGCAGAGACAATAAGAAGGGGGAAGTGGTGGTTTAAAACAATGGCAGACGTCTGAGGTTTTGCCTGCAAGTTGCCTTGTGTCCAGCCAGGCAGGGAAGAAGACCGGATATAAATAAACAGAATTGCAACAACTGCAGCGTCAAGGTCACTCTGAAGTTGAGCAATTTTTTTCCTCGAAGGGTATAGCCACATCAGGTCCTCAAATGCTCCAGATGTTCCTTCCCAGCAAAGGGAGCACACCTAGCCCAAGGAGAACAAATGGGTGGTAGTTTAATTCTTTATTGGCAAGGTACTCAATTACAGCATCTCCCAAGGTGCACAGGAAATACAAGCCATTTCTGCTATGTAACTAGCTAGGCACCTACTCCCCAGGCTAGTGCCCTGAAGTGGACCACTGAAGCAACAGCGTAACTACGCCTCTCGGGAACTTAAATCCCTTCACCAGAGTGAAATGTGCGCTGCGCAATCAGCCTGAGACTTCTTTGGCATGGTAGCTGCTGCTGCGCCTGGCAATTTAAGCCCCTCATTATCCTTGGAGACAGGGGAGGAGGGGGTGGAGAAGATCGTAATGGCCAGATTCTCTCAGGGACTGTTCTCTTCCTTCCCTTCCTGATCCTTCCTTCAACTCCTCCCCTGCCTTTGACAGCCCCGACTCTTCCTCTTCCTCTTCCCCCAGCCCCGAGTCCTGCCTCATGGGTGGGAAAAGAACCCCACAAGTCCCTGGCCTCTCCCTCTAGATCTTCCTCCAGCTCCCTTGCCTCCTCCACACACCCCTCAGAGCCCCACCGGTTCTTGACAGTCGGCGACCTCCAGATGTTCTAAAATAACTCTGCCAGCTGGCTA